AGGCTTGAACCACCATAAAAGGACAAGGCCGGGGCTGGCAAACGGCATGGGGGCTGCAGGGAAGCATTTGGGGGGTTTTGCGGGCTGGCAAACGGCAGGCTTGAACCACCATAAAAGGACAATGCCGGGGCTGGCAAACGGCATGGGAGCTGCAGGGAAGCATGTGGGGGGTTTTGCGGGCGGGCAAACGGCAGGCTTGAACCACCATAAAAGGACAATGCCGGGGCTGGCAAACGGCATGGGAGCTGCAGGGAAGCATTTGGGGCGTTTTGCGGGCGGGCAAACGGCAGGCTTGAACCACCATAAAAGGACAATGCCGGGGCTGGCAAACGGCATGGGAGCTGCAGGGAAGCATTTGGGGAGTTTTGCGGGCTGGCAAACGGCAGGCTTGAACTACCATAAAAGGACAATGCCGGGGCTGGCAAACGGCATGGGAGCTGCAGGGGGGCGTTTGGAAGGCTCCAAAACGTAGGCTTGAACCTCCATAAAAGGACAATGCCGGGGCTGGCAAACGGCATAGGAGCTGCAGGGAAGCATTTGGGGGGTTTTGCGGGCGGGCAAACGGCAGGCTTGAACCACCATAAAAGGACAATGCCGGGGTTGGCAAACGGCATGGGAGCTGCAGGGAAGCATTTGGTGGGTTTTGCGGGCGGGTAAACGGCAGGCTTGAACCACCATAAAAGGACAATGCCGGGGCTGGCAAACGGCATGGGAGCGGCAGGGAAGCATTTGGGGGGTTTTGCGGGCGGGCAAACGGCAGGCTTGAACCACCATAAAAGGACAATGCCGGGGCTGGCAAACGGCATGGGAGCTGCAGGGAAGCATTTGGGGGGTTTTGCGGGCGGGCAAACGGCAGGCTTGAACCACCATAAAAAGACAATGCCGGGGCTGGCAAACGGCATGGGAGCTGCAGGGAAGCATTTGGAGGGTTTTGCGGGCTGGCAAACGGCAGGCTTGAACCACCATAAAAGGACAATGCCGGGGCTGGCAAACGGCATGGGAGCTGCAGGGAAGCATTTGGAGGGTTTTGCGGGCTGGCAAACGGCAGGCTTGAACCACCATAAAAGGAAAATGCCGGGGCTGGCAAACGGCATGGGAGCTGCAGGGAAGCATTTGGGGGGTTTTGCGGGCTGGCAGACGGCAGGCTTGAACCACCATAAAAGGACAATGCCGGGGCTGGCAAACGGCATGGGAGCTGCAGGGAAGCATTTGGGGAGTTTTGCGGGCGGGCAAACGGCAGGCTTGAACCACCATAAAAGGACAATGCCGGGGCTGGCAAACGGCATGGGAGCTGCAGGGAAGCATTTGGGGAGTTTTGCGGGCGGGCAAACGGCAGGCTTGAACCACCATAAAAGGACAATGCCGGGCTGGCAAACGGCATGGGAGCTGCAGGGAAGCATTTGGGGAGTTTTGCGGGCGGGCAAACGGCAGGCTTGAACCACCATAGAAGGACAATGCCGGGGCTGGCAAACGGCATGGGAGCTGCAGGGAAGCATTTGGGGAGTTTTGCGGGCGGGCAAACGGCAGGCTTGAACCACCATAAAAGGACAATGCCGGGGCTGGCAAACGGCATGGGAGCTGCAGGGAAGCATTTGGGGGGTTTTGCGGGCGGGCAAACAGCAGGCTTGAACCACCATAAAAGGACAATGCCGGGGCTGGCAAACGGCAGGGAGCTGCAGGGAAGCATTTGGGGGTTTTTGCGGGGCGGGTGTAAACGGCAGGCTTGAACCACCATAAAAGGACAATGCCGGGGCTGGGCAAAAACGCATGGAGGCTGCCAGGGAGGAAGGCATTTGGGGGGTTTTGCGGCTGGCAAGACGGGAGGCTTGAACCACCATAAACAAGGAACAATGCGGGCTGCAAACGGCATGGGACGCTTGCCGGGGAAGCATTTGGGGGGTTTTGCGGGCGGGCAAACGGCAGGCTTGAACCAACATAAAAGGACAATGCCGGGGCTGGCAAACGGCATGGGAGCTGCAGGGAAGCATTTGGGGGGTTTTGCGGGCGGGCAAAC